GCCTCCTGCGGCTCGGCTTCAGCCAGCACCAGCCTTGTTTTCTTGAGTCGGCATCCCGCTTTTCACCTCAGCTTTGATCCCCAGGCAGACAACTGCGTGTTACATAGGTTGTCAGCCTTACCTTTTAAAGCGTAGCTATTTATTTCTCACTTCTCTGAACGTTTGTCAGTGTTTTGATAAGATGTAAACTGCCTTTGATCTAACTGCCTTTGATATAAAGTATGCATTTTATATTTAACTGATACCGGCTGTTTGACATCTTAAGAAATTACCTTTTGAAACAGCAGGAGGAGAATCATCACTCTCTCGATATGACAGGAAAGCACGAGAACAGATTCGCTCAGGCTTTATGTGGATTTTAGAATTTCCATTGCTGGAGATCATCGAGAGCAGGTTCAGCAAACATCTGCTGGAGGTGACAGGTGTGATAAGATCTTGCCTGGGGATAGCAGGATGCTAGATCACCTCTAGCTGTATTTTTGTTCAATTATATGTGTGTCTTCTGCATTTCTCTCATGTACATTTATTTGTCTTTGATGTCGCTTACAGTTCTCGAACGCTGCTGTTGCAGGTATGCTAAAGAAACAAACTACGTAGCAAAACCAGTCCTTACTGTTCTTGTGTCTGCCGGGTTTGCTTTTTTCTTGGTGCTTTTTTTTTGCTTCCGTTATTTTTGCCTTAACATCTTGTATTAATTTTTATGAACTAATTCTTTAGAAACACAGAAGTCAGGTCTGCTTGTGGAGGAGCCTGTCACAGATGAAATGTTTGGATCACCAGCACGAGATTGGTTATCCTGTAGCTTTTTTTTAACTTTTCCTGCAAAGTATCTGCATGAAAAGCTTTTATTGAAACTTGTACCATTTGACATGTGGAGTGCCTGAAAAGTTAGGGTTTTTTGTCAGAAACGTTTAATATATATTAGTTTAGATACTTGCGAGAAACAGCACAGAGCTTGTTTTTTTTTTCCTGTTAATACTTATTTATCTAAATATACCAAACATCGTTGTATTTCATTGTTCCGTTCCATACTGGGAGTGGTTAGGGCACTTCTAAAACAAATAGCTACTTACGTTAGAAGTACAACAGCATGATTCATTTGAAGCATGCTATTAGAGTCCTTTTCTTATATCTGAGAAACCTGTGCTGACCTATTGTACTCCAAAAAAATGGCAAGAATACTTTAAGTGTACCGTGAAAAGAATATTTGATTAGAGTGCTAAAAACGTAGATAAGAGCTATTTTTATATTCTACAATAACAAGGAAATAATTTTTTGATATTGTGCACCAATCTCTGTAAGAATATTTATGTTGGTGTTTTTACTGATCTGCAGTGTGTAGATTCACATACAGTTGTTCAGATTGACAAATATCATGGAAAAACGCTGTATTTCCTTCTCAAGAATCTCAAGCACTTGAATAATATGTTGTTCTTGCACATTACGCCCTCCGTCTCTCCATAATTGTTGTCCCGTGCCTCCAACATAATGGTGTTAAATCTTAAATCATAATTCCATGAAAACGTAGGATATAAGCAGGCATGTCTGGTATTCCAAGAAAATGTGTAAGACGTAATTAGTGCATATGTAACAATTGCCTATTTTATGACTTAACTTTGAATTCTAATATGCTTGTAGTAGGACCATCTGAAAAAAAGATGTTTTCTTTGGTCTGCAGCAATTCCATGTGTGTGATTTTGCACTGAATCTGTCTGTATTTTTGATTGTTTGCTCGTGCCATGAGTGTGGCAATGTCTCTGAAAAATGAAAAGTGGAAGACATTTTGTAGCAGTATTTCTTTCATGCTTTCTGTTTTCAGAGTTGATTATTAATGTTGAAATTAAAAGGAGAGTAAATCATGTCTCACGTCAGCGAAAAAATTAGTCTGACATAATCTTTCTTCTGCAAATGCCCTTTGTGTGTTTAGGCAGCTAATCCTCTCTTTAGGGAGTATTTAGACGGTCTTTGCAATTCCATTGTGTGCGACTTTTGTTCGGCTCTTCCATTAATGGAGAATTGTGAGCTTCTGCAAGTTCGGTTTCCTGAAAGTGCCTCCTGCAAGAGGGTTGAGTGTTGAGGATCATCAGCCATTTTAAGGGCAGACGTTATTCCACCCCACCTTCCTTGTGTGGGTGCAGTTCTTCTGTAGCGTGAGGTCATCCTGCGAGATGAAATCAGACTCTTCCCAGTGGTATCCACTGGTAGGAAAACAGGCAAGGGGCACAGATTGAAATGCAGGAAATTCTGTTTAAACATAAGACAAATCTTTTTTTTTAACTGAGGGTATTGTCGAACGCTAGCACAGGTTGCCCAGAGAGGGTGTGGAGTCTCCATCCTTGGAGATGTTCCCAACCCACCTGGCAAACCTCCAGAGGTGCCTTCCAAACCCAGCTGTGCTGTGAGACTGTGATGCATCTGGATTTGCTCTGTCCTCTTCTCCCCTTCTCCCACAGTAGCGCGTTTCTGTTCCCTTCTTTGCCCTCCCATGGCAGAGGGATGAACCAGTGCGTTTAAGAGAGGCTGCGTTGGTTTGCTGAGCTACTCCACCCTGCAGCTGCATGAGCGTGAGCGCCGGTTCAGAAACTGGAATAGCTCGCGTGGCTGCGTGTGCAGGGAAGGGCAGGACTGGCTGCAGTTGTCCGTTTTGTAGGCTGGCCTGCAGCCCCAAAACGTGTTAGCTGGCCTTCGGCTGTCGTTTCGTCTGTGGAGGTGCGTAGCAAACTGCTATGTCAGTGGTCTGTGCGCTGTATGTCCGCATTGCTGGTTCTGGGGCTAGTAAGCTCGGTGTCAGCTCTGCCTCTATTTTTAATCCTGCAGTTACCTTGAATGGAGCCAGGTTATCCAGGCATGTATTATATTCTGCATTTCCTTTACAACCTTCTTCCTTTACAATCTTTACTCTAAAATGCAGGCTGGGGGAAAAGGAGGTACAGGTCTCAAGGCTGGTAAGTTAATTTAAGCCTTTGCTTTGGACGTTTTTCTGAATTTGAAATGAATGCTAGTTTATTTACTCTTCCTTTCCAGTGAGAGGATCCGAAGGGCTTTATATGGTGAATGGGCCCCCCAGTTTCACAGAGAGTACAGCGTTTCAAAGGTACTGTTGTTCTAAACGTTTTAGATCCTTTGTCCACGCGCGCGCACACACGATCTAAATAGTAAATGTAGACTCTGGAATTCAAAAATCTAGAAGTACAAGTGGATTTTTTTCTTCCTGTCAGTAGTTTAGAACGTTGCTGGCTTTGAAGGCCGTGTGCTTGCCTGACTTCTGGTTGCCTTTTTGTACTTACAGGCAATAACGACTGAACAGTTGCAGGGCAGATTGCACTGTTACTGTTCTGAAGACTTATTCAGATGTGCGCTCAACTTATGCGATATAGTTGAATATTAATATGTATCTCTTATTTCTTTAGAGACTCTGGAAAAAATTGCAAAGCTGTTGCTTTTAGCAAGGATGGTTCCCTCTTTGCCTGGTGCAATGGAGAAAAGTTAGTACATTTTATGATATTAATCATTTAATTCGAATTAAGCAATCTGGATCAGTTTTACCACGTTTACTCTTGTACATACGGACTATTAATGAAAACGTTTGCGAATGCTTTAAAGGCCTTTTGGTTTTGCACTGTTTGCAGCAGTGACTTTGTTTTCTGAATATCAGATGAACTATTTACTGTTTTTCCTCTTATTTATAATTTCTCATATTTATTCCATAGAGCATATCCAGATTCCATGCTATAAGGGTTTTTGTTCATGCTTCCCAGGACAACAGTACCTGGCTTTCTGGGATTAATCCAAGTAGCACAACAGATGATTGCACTGCTGCTTCTTAAGTAGACTCTTGGCTTTTTTCCTGCCTTTTTCCTCTATGATAATGTATTTTTTTCAAATATTCTGAGAGTCAGTAGGTGTAGGACTGCTATCTAGCTGTGTCAGTGGATTTTTTTTTCAACATATTACAAAGTTATTTGAAAATAAGTTGATATCCACCATACTGGACCTGAACCGTTAGTAGAGCGTGTAGAAAATGAAGATTCTATCGGCCTCGCATGCAAACATCGCTGGGTCTCTGTTTTGTAGACTAGATGCATGACAGAGTACAGCAGAGATTGTCCTTTATGAAAGAGGGCATCATGGGTTAGCTGCTGTAAAGAGGTGATCAGGCTTTTTCTGAAATGTGGGTGTTAGTGCAGTATCGGTGTTCTTCTTACTAACTCCCTGGTTAAAAAAAAAAAAAATCTGCAACAGAGTTCAATGATGTTATTTAACCATTTCTGTTAAAGCAGGTAACTTAGATGTAGCATTCAGTTGTTCCCTTCACTGGTATTTCTGGTTCTTCCAAATGTACAGGCTCTTCATTTTTCATTATAAACTTTATTTTTGTCATTCGGAAAGGTCAATTTCCAGAAAATGTTTGTGGGGAAAATGTTTTTCAAACGACCACGTTGTGTGTCCAAGTACCCAAGCTCGGGCTGAGTACTTTAAAAGAGAACGTTCCAAATTGCAAATCTTTCCAGTCCTGTGATGCCTCTTTGTTTAGACAACTGGCTGCCTTCCTTCATTTTTGGGGGCGGTAGTTTATGATGTGGTGAGGAACAGGCTCCTAACCTAGTTTCTGAGAATAACAGTGTTTTGGACACGTCCTGACTTTATCTTTTTTTATTCTTTGGATTCCGTATGTTGCAGATCTTTAATGTACAGTGTTCAGAGATACTGTTTTACCTTGCTAGTTCAGCTTTTTGACCTTTGAGCTTTATTGTCTGCGTCTCCTCCCTCACCCTCCAAAAATCCAAGCCTTAAACGTAGAATCCTTGTAGACAGAAGACCTGTAAAAATGTGTGGGATAAATGTATGTTTTAATTCACTTAGAAGATTTTTTGGTTGCCCCTGCTCAATTTTAACATCGTGGAAGAATAGGTGAGACTATCTTGTATCTGATTCACATTCCAAATGTGCAGATCAAAACACACGTTGTTTTGACCAGGATTTTCACTTGCTCAGTTTCTGTTACGCTTGGGCACCTGGTTTCAAAATGTTCTTACAAATATTTAGTAAAAGCAGGATGGAAAAAAAGCTCTTTTAATTTTGTTACACTGGCCAAATTTGGAACAGATCTAGAAGTCAAAGATGTGAAAAGTTACCTTGGCTACTAATTAACCAGTCTAAGCGTGTTTTATTGAAATGACCTCTTTTGGTTCCAGAGTAAATACTGTTAATGTCACCAATGCTGAGTTACTGCGTTCTTTTGATCTTCCAAAGGCAGTTTGCCTTGAATTCTCGCCAAAGAATAATGTTCTGGCAACATGGCAGGTCTATACAAGTGAGTATTTTGCCAGCTGTAAAAATACATAGGTGATTGCATATTTTAATTTGGTTTGCAGACTTTCCATTACCTGATTTGCTATCCTAGCATATTCATTGGCTAAAAGAGCAATATAGAAAATGTGCAGAAAACTGTATGGTTAATCGAGTACATAGCAGAGGAGGGAGGGATGCCATCTTCTGAAAGCATCTGGTATCGACCGTTCTTACCCAATAGCAAACCAGAATGCATGTTATTACTCCATTAAGTAAATCACACGTTTCTAAATATTGTTAGCTGATCTTAGTGCAGAGTGTGTTTGACTAATATGCTGTTCAGGCAATTTATATTTATGTATGGGCAAAATTGTAAGCTATCTCAAAGTAATCATGTCCTCCCGTGGGCATAGCTAACTAACACGTGGAGTGTTCCCTGTTGTCCGGAGAGCTTTATTCTCTTCTCTGATTCTCTAAGGAACGATGTTCCTGACTCACATAGTCTCAGTCTTTTCTATGTTGCGTATCTAGAGTGGGTGGTGCAAATGCTTCCTTTGGTAGGAAGGGTAAGCTATAAGCTAAAGTAGGTGGGAAGTGTCTGGGACAGGTTGTGGGACAGGACAAGGCAGTGCAAGTGCTAGAATGGATGCCAACTATGGACTGGCAGGAAACTCTTAGGGCTCTTTTGAATCGTCGGTGGAAACAGGCAGGCCAATAGCTGTAGTATTCAGAGTAAGTAAAAGGGTACAGAAAGTTTAAAACCAGCAGAGCCGTTTTCTATAGCTTGCAGGTATAGCTGTGAATGTGACGTGAGGGACAAAACGTGCGATACGTTCTTGTGAGAACGAAACGTAGGAGAGGAGACTATACTTCCCATTGTTTGCTGGGAGGGTGGCTTTTCTAAAGTTCTGCTTTTAATTAGAAAACATGCATAAAAAAGTCGTCCTAGCATTGGTGGTCCTAGTCTTGTTCCCTTCTAAAGTAATGGGAGCCCGGAACTTCCAAACACTGGTGGTTTTTGCAGACCGAAAGACCGTAGACAGACTTAAGTTAGTAGCTAAAACAGTTAACACGTTTGGGGGCAGGGGGTGCTTCTTGACAGAAGCTTATGTGTGTTTGGTTGCTTGCAGAAGCATGAGATGGGATGTCATGATGGTAAAGCAGATTTAATACCCAGAAACCACCCCTGAAAATGTGTTTTTGTTGCAGCTGCTAAAGATGGCACAGCAGGGCTGCCCAACCTGCAGCTTTATGATGTGAAAACGGGAAAATGTTTAAAGTCTTTCATCCAGAAGAAGATGCAGAACTGGTAAATAACGTTTGCAGATGATAATTGTTTTCAAATAAATGCGATTTCCAAAATTTGATCTAGGTAAATACTCTTTTTTGTGTGGTGTTGGTTTTCAAAGTATTGCCTGCTACAAGCTGAAGGCAAGTATCCATGCTCCTAAGCATCTTTGCACATGGTTACAATTGTCCATTTCTCAGTATAAATTCACTGTCGTTTTGCAACACAAAATAAACTGGGGAGACAACAATTGTAAGTCTAGTTGTATGTTTTTTTTACCAGGCAAATGCACTTTGTGCATTGGAAACATATAGCGTGGTTGATTTTGTTTGGCCTTATAAAAAAAGAAAAAAAAAATAGACTGCTAAAGATGGCCATTATTCACTATTGCTTCAATTCTGTTTTTTTCCCTAAACGTAGGTGTCCTTGCTGGGCAGATGATGAAAGCATTTGTGCCAGGAATGTAAACAATGAAGTTCACTTCTTTGAAAACAACAACTTTAGTACGCAAGTATTTCAATAAGATAGTTTCATTGCATCCTAAGTAGGAGTTGTCCTTTGCTTTTTTCCAGTTTTCCATTTTTTTCTCTTTTTTGTTCTGTATTTTTTTTATTGTGACCTGTCTGTGATAAAATAGACTTAATATTCAGACGAGGAGGTCTAATTCTATATCGATTTAGGTTTAATGAAATCCAGAAATTGTTAGTAGAGTACTTGATTACTTCTATGGATTGTGGCTATGAGCTTTTCTAACATGACTAATAATGGCTTATTAGACAATTGATGTTGGTGGCAAAAATGAAGCTGTGAAGCCAGAGTATTTTTTCAAGGGAGTTTACTGCTAGTGGTAGAATATTCAAGTTGGTAGAGGGAGAGATTGACAATGAAAAGAAAAAATTTGGGAGGATAAACAGATTGGAACAAAGAAACTGAAAGGAATAAAAGCGAACTTCTGGGGGAAGAATTATTCTGGGAGCTAAAAATACAGCCTATGAGAGATACCATTTCATGAGAGTTAGTCCCCCCGATATTAATGAAGCTGAGTTTTCTGTTTTAGACTTGCCAGGATAAAAAGGGTTACAGAAAGGTAGTAAAATTG